CTCCACCGACCCACCACTCACTCCTATTTTCTTTCCCTTTCATTGCTTTTCTCAGCACACATATGCACAAGCTCCTTTCTTTCTTTTCGCTTTTCTCGTGTCATCGAACGTTAATTAGCAGTGATGAGCTCCCAACACCGTAGTGTGTTTGTGTTATTACAAACTAGCAGTCAAAAAAAGTACAGAGGCCTATTGTGAATAATGTTTATTCTTCATTCAATTCAACGTTGTTGCTTGACCGCTCAAGCAAATCAATTGAGATTCTTATTTTATTTGCTTCTTCCAACGTTCTTGTGTGAAACTGAACTTGATGTTCACATTTACATCTAGCTAGGGTCCAAAGCATGTATAGATAGAGATAAGCTTGTGGATCGCTTTCGTTTCAACAAAGTGAGGCCCGCCCTATGTATAGGTAGGTAGAACCAAGGGATCCATTAATTCCATGTTAGATTTGACAGCCAACAGAAATTAACTGGTTTTTAATGACCAACTTAAAATTTTAATGTAAAATGAAAACGGGTTTAAAAGAATAATAATTCCATGTATACTACTCCTCCTCCAGTCCTAAATACAGAACCTAATTATTAAATTAATTTTAATCCTAAATATAAGACCTATGCTTTATATTTATCAATTTTTTTCAAATTATTTCTATAAATATTTTTTCAACTATAATCAAGTTTGTGAGGAAATAAGGATATTAAGAAAGATGATTATGGTATTTTAGAAAAAAACATGTTATATTTCTTATAATAACTAATTTATTTAACTTCTTTAGTATAATTAAATTAGTTAACTAGATCTTATATTAAAAACCGAAAGAGTATCATAATGCTTTGTTGATTATTGCTACTTAGTTGCGGTGCTGTGTGGCAATTTGAGCGGTGGGATTAATTTATCAATCAAGATTTGATAGACAAACGGTTCTGCGAATCCGAGACATATAGACCCCTCTGTCTTGCCCGTGAGATCTCTTTACATCGCTTTCCTTCTTTAGTTTGATCCTGACTCCTACAAATTAAAACAAAGTTTAACATTTTTCCATGTGTTCACAAATTTTGAAGTGGTAAAAGCAAACGCGTCTGACCACATGTTCACGCAAAGCTGCTTCTTTACATTTATATAAATATATATAATCGCCTAGCATAATTAACTATTGAGCCAGTGTTCATTCGTGTTTCCCACGAATTTGCTAACTGGCTCAATATATAATATACATTACGTGTCATCTTAGTTTTATGAGAGAGGGAGAAAAGTTGACGGGTTGAGTAAAAGTTTATATATGTTGAATTTGTCTTTTGTTCTTCTGATTAGTTAGAACAGTAATTACTTTGACGTGTTGAGTAATTATGAAGACTGAGTTCGGTGTGAACGTCTTTTAATTAGCAATTAATTAATCCGTTAAGGTTTGGACAAATTCTGTCGGTAATTTCAGAATTCTCTGCATGCAATTGACATATCAGTTCATATTTGTAAAGAAATGTTAATAATCCTCTGATCCTATTTATAGGGTAGAGAGAAAAGATTTTGTTATCCTATTTATAGGGTACTGAGAGAAATTTTATTTATAGATGTACAATTTTATCTTTCATTTATTAGTGTTGACTTTATATACATGAGGTATAAAATATATTAAATAAGGATAAAGTTAGAAAGTTATTAAATTTTAAATAAGAGTTAATGAAATTTAAAGTTTTTTTTTTTATCTATGTAAAACATGCTAAAAATACTTTATAAATAGGAGTATTCTTCAATAGGCATTTCTAAGGTCACATCGGTACCTATTTCAGCTCATCATGTGATCATGTAGTAGCTCCTCTTCTCGGTACAAGATTCAATTGATTAATTTAACAAACTTTAAAAATTAATAAAGTTATAAAATTATTTTAAACTATTTATATTTATTCTTTTTCTAATTTAATTGATCTCGCTTATAAATTGATATATATATATATATAAGTATTTTAAAGACATCATATAACATGCTATAATCAAATAATTTAGTAACTTTCTCAATCTTTCTAAATTAATTAATCATATCTTCTATTAAAAACGGGAGATAATAACACATACACTATAGCAAACTCGATCATAATTCATAATTATGTTTGCATGAAATATGAGATATGATATTTTTTTTTTATGATTTATGAATAATATAATTTTTTTATAAAATTTTATTACAAGAGCATGAAATTTCTAATCCGCAGCTCTATATGGACAAGTCCAATTAGGCACAGTGAACAGAAATAGTAGCACGCGGTAGTATGTAATTGAAGTCCGTTGAATCATTTAAAGACTGCGCCAACCATCCCAACAATTTTAAAAAACCTAAAAAGATGTTTTTATGTAAATCAAGATAATTTTTTTTTTCATATACTTACCTCATATTTACCTTGGACATTGTAAAATTATTTATAAAAAAATTAATTCAAATACCCTTGTATTTGATTTTTACGTAACGAACATTCTAAACCACATTTTGCCGTTTCTATCAAAATATGGTTCTAGTAATTTTAAACATAAACTAAATATGCACTTACTAGCTAAATATAATTAAGTTTGAGAGATTCAAAACAAATACACTTCAATATGTCAATATACTGGTTTTACCAAAAAGAAAATATATCAATTTATTAAGAAACGAAACCAAACATTTATTATGGAGGAAAATTCATTAGAACTGATTAAAAACATAATAATAAAAATTTAACATTAAAATACTTAAAATTAAGTAATGTTGAAATAAATGTAATTAATTTAATGTTGAAAAATAAAATTAAGAGTTAGTATGAAAACAATATCACTAAGTTAAAAATGGAATATGGTTATACCTTTAAAATTACCTGTTTAAAACACCTTAAAATATTTATTGAAAATTTCAAGAAATTAAGAAAGAATAATTAACATGATAAAAAATTAAGAAAAAAATAATTTTGACGGGGAAGGTTGCAATAATATTATAATACATACATTTTTCTTTGTGGGATTTTTTCTCTTGGTCCCATATAACATATACATGGTACCATATATATATATATATATATAGCCATATTATATTATTTATAAATCAAAAACCATGGTAATAATTTTTCATATTCTACGGGGACAACGCACCAGCTGCCTCCAGCTGTTAGTTTTCCCAGATTATCATCAAGTCAATAGACAAATCAGATCATAGGATCATTAACCATATGAAAAAAAAAAACAAGAAATAATTAAATGGCTTAATTGATTTGCAGCCTCTCATCTGTGAGGGGAAACACTGATGGGGAAGTGCAGGTTTGAACCAGGAATATGAGATAGCAGGGACACTTGGCTTTACACGTACTTGCACGTGATTAGCCCTCGATCTCCTTTGCTTCTTAATCATGATTCCTCAACAGCCACGCGTCATTTTCATTAACCAGAAAAAAAAAATGAAACATTAATTAATTAATAGTAATTGTCCTCTCACAAAACTCCATTAATTACTACATTATCATTTAATCAAACTACGCATGCACTTATCCACTAGTACTGCGATGCCCAACTTCCAACAATTAGCGAAGAAGGAAATGATTAATAGCCACAGAACAAGCAGCGCATAATAGGAAAAAAGATAATCAATAATTGAAGGATGTTGCGCCCCAGTGGAGAATGTACAAGACTGTGTTTGGATGCCTGGAAATTAAAATCATCATCATGATGAGGTTTCTTTGGCATCCATTAGTACCGTGTGGGGACACACAGGCAAAATTATTTCTTTTCCCTCACATTGATTAACCATCATTGACTCTGCATAGCCCGCACGTTTGATAGAATATGAGTAATAATAATCTCTACATTAACATTTCTGGCTTCTAATTTGAATCATCATGATGATATATAATGCATTTTCAGGGGAAAAAAACATATCATCACTGAAATAACCTGCCTGGACCAGCTTCTAGTTGAACAGTATATCACATATCACTTATGGCAAAACAAATTAAGAAGTGGATTAAATAGCGTAACCCCTCAAGAGTTGTAGAGTTAAACAAGTTGGCTTATTAGTTAGTGGGGCAAATAAATCGACCCATCTATCTCTCTGTAAGTCATGGGTTGTCTCATGTAATTTTTAATTAAGTTAAATGTTTCGGATTTATTTGATCATAATAAAAATATTTTTAAGGAAAATCTCAACTCAATTCACCAATTTTGCAAGTTAAATCGGCTATCTAATCATGCTTAACCCATTTTAATGGCTTTATATATATTAAATATTTTCCTCAAAGTAATTAACTGATTCTTAACTTATTAGGTTTTTAGGTGAAACCGGAAATTCAATTTAGTATAAATGAGCATCAGTATTGCAAGTATCTTAGCTTTCTCTTCTCATAATATTTAAAAAGAAAAAATATCACCGATTCACTAATTTCCAAATTCATTAATTCACTATCCTGGTCAAAAAAGGAAATAAATAATCATTCTCTACACTATGCCAACTAACCAGGGGAATGAACATTCGGTCAGATAGAAAAGGGGCAGGGGGGGATTTCTAGATAAGGAGAGACGTGTGCATCACACATGCATGTATATAACATCCAGAAACTGAGAAACCCAATTCAAATTGAAATTAAACAAAAGTAATCATCACAATATAACGAAGTTGAATATGTATATATATGAGAGGTCAATTGTCATTTTTTTCCCCTAAATTGTAAAATATTCAGATAAACCATAAATGGAAGTTTTCAAAATTTTCATTAAAATTTCTGGAACTAAACATTTCAATGCTGTGGAGAGAAATTAAAGCTTCTCTTCAGCAGCCTCCAAAATAATTCTCTCTCTATATACCTGCGTTTGTGTGGACATATATGTATACATATTCTTTTGCATCAGCAAGGGACCTGACCGATGACGAAGAAGCTGTACTAATAACAAGCCAAGACATCCAATAGAATTGCCAAGGACGAGTCATCACATATATAATTAATAATCTACCCCTTATATATATACACACTTGCTCCATCTCCCACCCAAGCATATATACATTTGACGCGCACAGAGAAGACCTACTTTCTTTTGCTTTTCTCCCACTAACACAAAAAGACTCACCCTTTTGCTTTTCGTGTTTTTGGATTGTTGTAGATCTGCAAACATAAAGACCACCGGCGATGATTCAGGAACTGTTGGGTGGTTCTTCTGGTTTTATATCAACTGGTGACAACAGGAAAATCTCCATTAACGCAGCTCGTGCCGTTCTTGCACCTCCCATACCATCTCCTTCTCTGCCTACTTCCGCCGCCGCAGCTGCCACCACCTCCGGTGCTGCTGCTTCTCCTGCTACCGCCACCTCGTCAAATTCCGAAAACCAGAACTTGAGGTGTCCGCGATGCGATTCGTCAAACACAAAATTTTGTTACTACAACAACTACAATCTCACCCAGCCTCGCCACTTCTGCAAGACTTGTCGCCGGTACTGGACCAAAGGAGGTGCTCTGAGAAACGTTCCCATCGGAGGTGGTTGCCGGAAAAACAAGAGCGTCAGCGCATCATCCAACTCCGTGGCGGCCAAGACGAGTGTTGCTGTGGCTAAGATGAAAACGGCTGCGTCTGAGCTTGGAAGTAGGTCAGGACTTGATGGCGGCGGCTTTGACCATCAGGAACTTCCGGCAAGCCCGATTTTGTGGGGCTCGCCGCAAAATTCTCATCTGTTGGCGTTGCTGAGAGCTAGCCAGAGCCATAACCCTAACCCTAGCCCTTGTGCAAACAATCCCATGCCTAATATTGGTGTGACTGTGAAGGAAGAAGGGAACTTGATGAGATCCCACATGGTAACTGGACCAGGGGGCTCTAGTGGCCTTCTGAATGTTCCTCCAACCTCGGGCTTTGATCCTTCCCTTGGCCTCACTAGCTCTTTCTGGAGAAACAACAATCTCGATCATCAGCCAGCAGCTCATCAACCACAAAATGGAGGATTTGTATTCGGCGAGCACCAAAACAGTGGGATCCAGGAACTCTACCAGAGGCTCAGGTCCTCATCTTCAGCCAACTATTGCAGTGACGACTCGTCATCGCTGTTTCTAAGCAACATGGCTTCTTCTTCTTTATCATCATCTTCCTCTGTAGCCATTGTAGAGTCAACTCAAGCTAATGGGAGTGGAATTGGATTGGGGTACTGGAACCAACCTCTTTTCTGGTCTGATCTTCCCACGACCAATGGTGCACATCCGTAACCATACCATATAATTTCTTTTATTTAAGTGTTTAGATTTATTTTCTTCCCATCAGAAATGCTTTGTATTTTAGGGTTTGCTTCCACTATGGTTGGTTGGTTTGGGTGGTATAATATGAATATGGCTGTAGCATGTTCTTCCTCTCCTTTTTCTGGGTTTGTTTGCTTAATGGCGTGTTTAATTAGTTAAACTCCCGTCCAGAAGGACCAGGGAGCGTTAGAATTGAATGGTACAAGCGGAGTGTTTAATTTATTCTCAAGGCTGGCTACTCAATAGTTTCCAGATCTCTTGATTTATCGATCCGAATCTCTTTTCTTCTTCTTTTGCTTTTCAACTTTTTTTCCTCACTCTCTCTCTATATCTGTATATATTTGTTGCAGCTTCACTATATAATCTCAGTTCCTAGCTATTTCTAAAGCTATATTTTATACGAGAAAAAAGGTAAATTGAGGCTTTGTTTCTGTAGGAGAATCTATCATCTTGGTAAACTCGGAAGTTAATCTAGGGTTTCAGATTTGAGGTATAATAAGAAGTGAACATAGTGGGGGCGCGTGTGGTGGGTAGCATATGCAAAAGATTTTGTTTGTTGCGAGAAATCGATGAATGTAAAGTTAAAGCAGCCTTTGGAAAAGAGTTTCCTCAAACAGCTTATTAGATTATTGTAAGAATCTCATCCTGCAGCCTTATGACATGGAAGTGTGAAGACTGAAGACTGAAGACGTACTATCCCCACGGTTTAAATTCGAATTAATATAATTAATCAATAATTAAGTATTAGACCCCTTAAAATCATGCTTGAAGTGGCCAGATTATCTTAATTCTTCTCGATAAATCAATTAGTTGGGTCAACGTTTATGGGGTAAAGTTGCAAGAACTTGAAACGGCATGTCAGGCTCCACTTGGATCCTTGAAAGAAACGACTAGCCTACGCCTAGATTGAAATGATGGCTTAAGAGTTAAGACTTTAATGAGTGTGGTAGAGTGGGATGAAATCAAATGATTTGAACATATTAATCATTCATTTTCTAAAAGCTAATATGATGAAATAGAAGTTGGTTCCGCCGCTCCAATTTTCAAATCAATTCAATTTGTATCGTTTCAGATCGGTTATTCGGATTTTTTTTTAATCTTTTTTCCTCTTTAACCTTCTTAGTTGGTCTTCACTTTTGGTAGCCCGAGCCTTCTTTTAACCTTCTTAGTTGTTTTTCTCTTTTGGTGGCCAGAGCCTTCTGCAGTTGTTTAATATTTTCATTAATATATAACCATCTATACAATAGCATTCAAAGTTACAGCCGAGCAATAGTAAATAAATACTCTTCTGATCCTAAATGTAAGACCTATTTTACAGTGTAATTTACATTATAAAATGGGTCTTACATTTAAGAACGGAATAGTACTGCATATATTCAGAAAAAAAATAGTACTAATAAACTACATATATTAAAAAAAAAAGCAATACTAATAAACTAACATGAATCTTTAAGTTCGATTTCGGTCGAAAATTTGATATGTGCGTTTAGCTGAGAAGTTACTGGCAACCGTGCTGCGAAAAAAAAAATTACGGGAAGCGAGTTATAAAAGTGAAATGAAAACTTCATTAATTTATTATGATTACAAGAAATAATCAAATTGAATACAACAAGAAGGAAGCATAATAAGCTGCAACATCGATCGGAAACCCAATATCTCTTTCTCGGTAAATTTGTAGACAGTTACCCTCTAGTAACTGGAATCTCTAAAAGAAAATAATCAGAATGAATTCAAAGTCACACACAAGCTAATCAAGAAGAAGTAACTAATAAATCCTTATGTAACTAATAATTAATAACTATCGAATTAACTATTGGGGCTTCGCTTTGCCACAAAACAGTGCATTAGGAGGAATATCAGCCTCAGTGTAAATGCTATTCTCATCGTTGTACACTTTTAGATACAATTCCTGTCCTAAGTATCGGTTTGGCCATACAGTAGACCTCAGATTCCACATTCCCTTGTTGTCCAAAGGTACCAGAATGGCCGTCCAACCCTTCGGATACACCTATATATCCATTCATTCGTTCAGAAACCAAGCCAGTGCGTCAATATATATTATATGTATAATCTAAATCAAAACACTAAAATCAAAGAAGCTATTTTTATTGTGAGTTTCACTCACCTGAACAGTGTGTCTGAAAATACCATCAACCAAGTTGTAGCGTCTCCTCAAATCAGGTTTCCACAGGCCAGAACCGTACCTGATCAACATTAAGATTATTCAGTAGCTAGTATAGACAATTCGACTATGAAGGATCATTGATAGTGGGATGTCTTATTACCCGGCAACAAAGAAGCTTGCTCCATCCATATGCCAAGACTGGAGAGCATAGTCGGTGTTCTGGAAGATAATTTCGACAAAGTCATGAAGGGTGAATCCTAGGACCGAGGTGCCGAGAACAGCAGGAGTATTAGGAGAAGGAGGGAAGTCTCTGATGGTGTTCAAGTTAAAGACACCGGATATGTTGAACCAATCAGCAAGCTTCAATGGGGTGTCTGGATTTACGTAGGAAATTCCATTCACAGCAAATCGCTGCTTTCCATCAATAATGACTTTGGAATTTGCCAATACGACTGTCCTCGCAATTGGAATGGTTCCATAGTGGTATGAACCTTGTGGGTTAGGCCGGGCTGCATTTGCTGTCAGATTCCATCTATCCATACGTACACACAACAACAAAGACACAATGCAATCAGAAAAACATATAATTAGGGGTATGCGCAAATTTCAAAGATAAAGTAATTTTCTAATAAAAACCAAAGATTTACTTTGTATTTTCAAAGGAAAATGAGAATACCTGATGGTTCTGGCTTGCTTCATGGAGCCATGGAAATAGAAAGATGGGGCGCGGGGTAATGGGCCGGAGAGCTTGGTATTGGACCCATCATAACGAAGAGTTGCTATAGCAGTGAGGTTTTTCCTAATGAAGCGGCTTGAAGCCACAATGTAGTAGTCTTTTGGTGGCCCATCAAGAGTCACCAAAACTGTCATGGATTGGCCCACATGAACATCCAGTGACTCGTACATTTCCTGCATCGTGTGTGACCCTTCAACTTCAATCAGCTTCATGGAATGCCCTTCAATCCTGAAGTTTATTGACGTTGCTATCCCCACATTCGAAATCCTCAACTTGTATGTCTTCCCTGAAAACAAACAAGTTCATTCATCTCTCATCATTCATTTTTTTCTGAAAGGGGGGAAATACTGATGCAGAAATCTAGGAATAAGAATCCGGAACAAGCTAAGATCGGTTACCTGGTTGACCGGTGAATACGGCAGTGGATTGTAGGCCGTTGATGAGAAGAGCATCGGGAAAAGGAAGAATGAAACCGGCATCCAATCGTTCGGCGAGGAGCTTATGGCTGGTCTTGAACCAATCGGAAACGAGGAGGGTAAAGTCACCGGCAGGTTTGTCGTAGGGGATGGAAATCACAGACCTTTGGTTAATGTTGAAGCCACCAAAACCCCCAGCCACCCTGTGGAGTTTAGTGGATGGGAAATAATTATATGTACCAATTTGATCTTTAACTTGGAACTTGTAAGTCCAATTGCTGTTTGGAGGAATTGGGCAGTTTGTCCCAAGCACTCCATCTTGCCATGATGTCCTTCTCTGTTGTATTCCATTCCTGTAGAGCACACACATATCCCTTACGTTATTAATTTGGATAATGCTAATTACTTCATCTTATTCTTAATTAATAGAGCCCAATAATTTTTAATTTGAATCTGGTCCAGATGGTAAAATCGAGGACTAACCATGTGATGAGGAAAGGCTCGTCCAGCTTATTGATGACATTCACGATGATGTTGTTATTGGTGACGGCTTCAATGGTAGGGCCTGGAAATTGGCCATTGATGAGAATGCCCTGGTCATATAAATTAATTCAGATACTTTTCAATTCCAGTAAGAAATTTATTACACAAAACACACAGAAATAAGAAAGCAAAAGCAACCTGTTGAGGAAAACCCAGAGGATAAATTGTTCCGTAAGTCACTTCCCATGTGAAAAACAAATACGGATCTTCAGCTCCAACACGAAGAGCACTCAAGCAAGCCAAAACTCCAACAAGAACCACTTGGAAAGTGGCCTGCTTCATCTTATATTTCCAAAGTAAATTGCAGATACTAGCTCCGGCCTGAAGAGCCGAAGAAGATGAATGAGAAAGAGAGTGGTGAAGTGAAGGAGCTAGGACGGAGATTCTTTGTATTTATAACTATATATATATATATATATGCATGGAAGAATACGTAGAACAAATTTGGCACAAGCATGCCAGAGTGGAGGCAATGTGCTATAGCGGATTTCGTGCTCATAATAATTATTACAATATATGGGTGTACTTCATTAATTACTTGAACGATCTTGTACATACCCTAATAGCCAGTTCGCATTCACAGTTCTCACAGCTAGCTGGTTTCTATGACTTGCATATAAAGTAAACCAAGTACCAACCAATCAAAACCGCGCTCGTAGCTATATTTTAAAGCAAATTATTTCACAACTTTATGAATTGAGTATTAGGTTGCTTTTAAGTTCGGGCTGTCTTCTTTTGTGGGAAATGTATATATAGAAAGCACAGCATTATCTAGAGCTCCGGATGCGACGCAGACGAAAGCGGATCTTCATTTGGATTTATTTCCTTCCATGAATTTGAATTTGAATTTGAATTTAATGCTCATCTTATTTCCAAATGATCTGTTATTATTATTAATTACAGGAACCTGTCTTTCTTTTTGTCTCTCCCTTCATCAAGAGATTTGTAGAGTGCAATTTCCGGGGCCCAGAGGAATGTTGCAGGGGAACATACTGTGAATGGTTTCATTTCATCAGATTTTTTCACTCTAAATCTCCATCTTTTTTTTCCCCCCAATTTAGAGATCACAAGCTATTGGCTTACACTCTTGAATATCGATTTCCAGCTTCTATTATACTTTATTCATTGTCATTGGGAAATTAAATGGTAAGGATAACTTGCTCCAAGAGACTGCAATTTGATAAGTCTAAAATTTTGTGAGGGTAAAGAGAGGTTTGACTTACAATAAAGAAAGAAAACCTGAATTTCAAAGGATTCTATCATGTGCAAACAATTATTGTCGAAATTAAATAATGCTTTTATTTATTTAGTAAAATACTTTGTGAACAAATTTAAAAAAGATTTATTACTTTAAGGTCCCGTTTGGTACGAAGCATTGAAAATGAGGGACTGAGATTGGGATTGCAATTGAAAAAAATCATTAAAATAGTACTTAGCATGAGTAATTGTTTGTTATATGGGATTAGAGAAACCCATAAAGGTGGGATTGGGGAATACCACTTCCCCTCATGGTATTCTCCAATCCCACATATATGGCTTTGGCTAATCCCATATATCAAATAATCTCTTATACTAAACACTCTCTTAGTAGATTTTTTTAATTGTAATCCCAATCCCAATCCCTCATTTTCAATGCTTCCTACCAAACGCAACCTAAAAGTCAGAGGTTTACTTGTGTGTATGATCTAAAATTTTAAGGTTGTGAATAATTTTGCCCGGAAAATTCTTTTAAAAAAAAGAAGAAATCCATCTAATTAAACAGTAAATATGACCAGAAAGAATACTTATTAGCCAGTAACGTTGGCAAGCAAAAAATATAAAAGAAATAAACTATTTTATTTCCAGTTTATAAAAAAAACTATCTCTTATATGTGATAAAGTCAACTATATAGGTAGAGAAGTTTAATGGATGGCAAAGTCAACACCGAGTTGAGAGAAGAACAATGTAGTCAACATAATAAGGAGAGGCAATGAACTTAAAGTAAAGGCTTGAGATGCCAACACCAGATCTCATGTATGGGAATTTCACATGGTGGTGGCCTCGTACGCTGCAACTTGCTCTACTTTATATATTTGGAAAAATTATAATAAAGTCCTATATAAGAGAATTAAATAAAAAAAATATCTTAAAATCATCGAAGGTCTCAACAGACCTCATTGCAAGAGATTTTATTTATTTAATTACTAAATTGCTCCTTTTTTTTAAGTATTATTAATAATTAAAAAAATAGTCGTTAACAACTTAAGGTGTAACAATTAAAAACTATCATAATAGGTTTTAATATCACATTTTCTCAACGCATTACAAAAATATAAGGTATGAGTTGTTAATATCTGATATGATAGTTGTTAATTATTACGCTTTAAATTGTTAATGACTGCACTTTCTGTTGTCAATGCATACTTTAAAAAAAAAGATAAAGATAATTTAATAATTAAACAAATAAAATCTCTTGTAGTAAAATCTCTTAGGATTTTAGAATAATTTGATAATTTCAAGAGACCTTTGGTACTTAATGCTCTTGGGTGAGATCTTATTGCAATTTTTCCTATATATCTTACGGTTAGCTGGCAACAAAAATTATATATTTTACAAATGTAACATGCTAGCTCCAAGAAAAACCAAAGAATGAAACGTGCACTATAAAAAAACACTTAATTAATGATGAAAAATAATTTATTACCTCCAGTCCTTGCACTTTTAATTGTGAATGCATACTTTAAAAAAAAAGATATGGACAATTTGGTAATTAAATAAATAAAATCTCTTGCAACAAGGTCTCTTGGGATTTTAAAATAATTTGATGATTTTAAGAGACCTTTTGTATTTAATTCTCTTGAGTGAGATCTTGTTACAATTTTTCCTATATATTTTATGATTAGTTGGCAACAAAAAAACAATTTTTTACAAATGTAACATGCCAGTTCCAAAAAAAAAACACCAAAGAATGAAACATGCACTATAAAAAAAACATTTAATTAATGATGAAAAATAATTTACTACCTCAGGTCCTTAGTATATGTAAGAGTTTGTTTAACTTTTATTTTGTTCCTAAATATAAGACTCTAATTTATCTTCTCTCTTATATCTATCTATTTCTTCCTAAGACAATCCTTGTAATAATGGCTTTATATCCAATATATTTGATTAGTAATGATATTTTAAAAAAGACAATACTTGTTTATTATGAATAACTAACTTAATTAATTTTTTTAATCTATTTAAATCAACCAACTAATTTTTATATTAAGGAGCAAAAATAGTAATCATTAATTTCTGACGGCTTTTTGATGAAAATTTTGTTGTCAATTTCGTCACCAAATATACTTGGCAACGAAATTCTGTCTCTCTCTTTTTTTTTTTTTTTGCCCTTTCCGGGTCTTTGTAGTGATGCGTCCGTAGACGCTACTATATAGTGTTTGTGAAGGACACAAAGCCATATGCCCATATCCGTATTCTCTCTCCCTTTGTTTTTTCATATGGAAAATGTTCGCCCACCCGCCTCATTTCATACATTGGAGCATAAAGCTCAGCCTCCTCAATAAAAAGAGGTGTGAAATGCCATTGAGCCAAGAAGTTCTTGGCTTTCTCCCTCTATATGTGTTTTCGGGATGAAAAAATCAAGTTAACTATAGATCTCTGTTAGATTCAGAGTCTCTTCCAATATATCTCTTTTCTTTGCTCTAAAAATTTGATTAGAAAAACTACTTTTAAAAAATATTTTCACGCATGTCGATACAACTTGTTTTATGTATTATAAAATTACTTTTAAAATTATAATTTAATTTTCACTCAAATACTCCCTAAAGCAACTCCCTAAAGCAAGAAAAACAGCGTCGACCGGAGGAAGTCCCAGGTTTGTTGTCACTTTGAGGGAATGACGGTTAAATCTTAGAAAAACCGAAGTAACGATAAATAGGTTCTTGTAAAACAATTGTAAATTCAGGAGTTTCAGTTATAAAAAAGTGATTTAACTTTTATATGTAACTCTCAATTGGTAACTGAAATTCTCAGTCCAAAAAAATATTGGTAACTGAAATTCTTATTTTTAAGGGAAAATGACAATTAGGTCCCACTCAAAGAAATTAAATACAAAAAAATCCCTTGAAATCATGAAATTATTTTAAAGTCCCAAAAAAAAATTTGCATTAAATTTTATTTATTTACTTACCAAATTACCTTTTTTTTTTAAGTTTGCATTGACAACTGAAAGAGCAGTGGTTGACAACTCAGGGTGCAAGGATTGACAACTATCGCGGCTGGTTTGACAACTTATGGTGTGATATGCTGAGAAAATGTGTTGTCAAACCAGTCGCGATAGTTGTCAATCCTTGCACTCTGAGTTGTCAACCACTGCTCTTTCAGTTGTCAATACAAATCTAAAAAAAAAAAAAGATAATTTGGTAATTAAACAAATAAAATTTATTACAAAAAAATCCCTTGAGACTTCAGAATAATTTCATGATTTCAAGAGACCTTTTTGTATTTAATTCCCTTGAGTAGGACCTAATTGCAATTCTCCCTATTTTTAATTGTTTGAGTCGTTATTTGCAATTTTTTTTAAGTGAGAGTCTAATTGTCATTAATTTAACCTTTCTGGTACTTAAATGTCATTCATCTTTACTCTTTTAATCCTATTTATATGAGAGACTAGGGCTGTTTTTGTTTTTAATAGAAGTCAATGTAAATTTTACTCCTAATATAGTGTTAAGTAGACTATTATTTTCTTGGGCTTTTCATTAAAGTATGTGCATATACACACATATATATTAAATAAAGGTAAATTAAATTTTAAGATATAGTTAATGAGATTTTTTTTTAATTGTTAACAATACCTTTTAAATGGGATTAGAGAAAGATCATTTTAGCCAATATTCTTCTTTTTCTTTTTTGCCAATTATTCTTGAGCTTTGTATGATGTATGTTTTAAAAACTATTCTTACAATTTTTAATTTTCTTTCAAGGCACATGTATTATTCTATGGGAGAAAGCATATTCGAGTGACTATCGAGCATTAAATGTTAACATTTTTTTTTTGTAGAAATTCAAATATTAATTTTTCACGTTATGAAAGATTTCTTCTTTTTTTTAACTAAATTCAACCGTCACTGGTTACAATTCTTAATTTTTTTTTCCCTGATGTAGTTTGAAAATTAAACCTGCAATTTTTTTTTTTAGAAAAAAAGAGATACACATAGAGAGGCCAAGAGCCCACATCAACCCTGTCCAGTACCCGTGCCACAGGTCCATATCTCTCAATTCACCCTTCTAGGCCCAATGTTGAAAATGTAAAATAAATTATATAAATATCACTTATTGTGATCCTGTCGGTCTAATTATGAAG